AAGGTCCACTAAAGCCAAGCATTGACAATTCATGACTGTATAAAAGATACGTAGACGACATATTTATTATTTGTGACAACAACAATGACCCGAATCTACTGCTGAAGACATTTAACTGTTGCCATCCGGAAATAAAATTCACTCTTGAAATGGAAAACGAGTCGAAAATTCCGTTTCTTGATGTGGAACTAACAAGAAGAACTGATGGGAGTCTAAGAAGATCGATCCATAGAAAATTCACTTGGAATGGTCAACTAACAAGCTTCTATAGCTGGGTACCTATTCAACAAAAGCGGAATTTAATTAAATCCCTTGCCACCCGCATCCGACGCATCTGCAGTCGCGACGCTCTGGAAACAGAATTAGATACTCTAGGAGAAATTTTCATCCAAAATAGATACCCAATAAGATTCATCGACAAAAATATCAAACCAAGAATTCGGAGAAACGAAACTTTTATTGCGCCTCAAAAGAAACTCTATATGAATTTGAATTTCAAGGGAGATTTAGCAAGCGATATTCTAAAGAGAAGGATCACATCATCTCTGAGAAGAACATTCTTTGCAGCAACGCTAAGAATAGTGTTCTTCAGTGGCCCATTGATCTGCAGAAGCCTCAAGGACAAGATCCCGCATCTGACCCTTTCTGTGTGCACATATATAAGTTCACCTGCTGCTGTGGAGCCAGGTACATTGGTTGTTCGACGTGCACCGTTTCTAAGAGGATTCAAGAACACTATCCAGCATGGTTGCGAAAAGGCAGTGATGGTACAATAAGGAGTGCGATAATTGAACACCTGGTTAACACTGATCATTCCATCTCAACAAACGCCTCGTGTTTCACAGTAATCTACAAAGTCAAGAATAATCTGCCAAAGGCAATACAGTTTCGTCTTCTTTGTATCGCTGAAGCTCTCACCATTCACATAGAAAAACCGAAGCTGTGCATACAAAAGAGAATTACTCAAACAAAACTACTATCGTGGTAACAACTTTGTTGATTTTTGATGACACACGCATACAAAATAACACATGTATATTTGCGATTTTACAGCTAAGAAAATGAATTCGCTGAAAAAAGGCTCTTCGCTGAGCTACGTCTTCTTTTTTCATTAATGACTGTCGTTGCTACTAGTATTTAGAACATTAAGCTGACAAAACTAAGTAGGGAATTTCGTTAGTGTAAAAGACTGGTAAACAAACAGATTGCATTGCCTATCATATTACTTTCTTTAACTCACACTCAGTCTTCTTTATTTTCTCGGATTACTATCAACTAGTCAACTAGACAAGATTTAGGAGTATGTCTGTCAGTCGGGGGGAATTCAAGGTGAAATTTATGAAATCTGTTAGTGTTTCTGCTTTTTGCAGTTTTGTCATATATTCCCAAGGTGATATGAAATGAATTTTATTATCAAGATAAAAATGGAATTTGAACACTATGGCACAGTATAACTTTATATTAAATGCTTTTATTTTGACATCAAACAATATATATTAGTGATATTGACATGCTTATGATCATATCAGTGCCTTAACACGACTTCTTAACTTGCTTGATGTCGGTAATTTAGTTCCGCTTGTTCCGCAATGCAGTTTTCTATGTGTATGGGATTTAAAGTATTTAAAGTATACGGTGTTGGCTTGATAAACAAAGTTTCAGGGATTCTGGAGGCATTTAAGGCCAACCAAATGACTCAAAGATGAGCTGTATGGGCTTAGGGATTAGACAAACACATTTAAGCAAATACTATGTAATAACTTTGGGATCAGTTACAGTGGTCAAACAAGCAGGTTTAAGTCAGTGAGATAGTTGAAATACAGAAATTTAACTAGAGTTAAATGATCTTGAATACAGCTGTAACATTGCCATTCATTCGCTTGCATAATCATCACTTAATGGGATGAGATAGGCTTAAAGTAATAAGAAGTAATAAATTTAAGTGGAGAGATAGATTAATCACTGATTCTAGTCAAAACGCAACATCTAAGATGAAGATGTTGCAACACCAATTCTAGGTAGATAGAAAATTGTATTAAATAACAGTAGGGACTTAAGCACGTTGTAAAGTTGTCTGAATATTAACAATAAATGGTGCTTAAATCGTCATCTAGTGGGAAGCCGTGACCAGTAGTGTGTAGCAGGTTGAAGGTGAGGCAGTAACTCATCGAAGAAGATATTGCAAAGTGGTAGCGCTATGTCATGAATTAGCAGAAGTTATAATTCATGGACCATTGGATCGGGTCGGGTGCCAGTGGCTTAATGGTCTAAGAGCTAGCTCGCCTTGTGACCAGAAGGTCCTGTGTTGGAACCCCCGTGGTGGGTGCGTACTGATGAAGGGTTTCAAGGGACTCGGGCGAAACAACTGGCTGTTCAGTACTCCCTGCAGGTTTTCCAATGGTTCTCCAACTGATATCAGCTCATGATGAAATTCTCCAACCAAATAAAACGCCATAATCTATTTATTAAGACTGTGTCACTGTACGTTATATCAAATAAACGTTACCATTAGGAGTCTTACCATGGTTTCATGAATAATTCAAGTATAGAATGTTTGTACTATTATGGAGTATGATTCCTTACTAATTTACTTGACATAAAATATGCAATAGAACAGTAATATTTATAAATTTTGTCGTTTTTATACAACTTCTTCACTTCACTTACATGATCTTTTATTATGTTCATTTTTTGAAACCGATTGTCCTATTACTCTTATTGCAAGCGTTAATCTTTCGTTCAACAGACATAATTTAGCTTTCGGTTGCATAAATATTTACGTAGTATTCAGTGGAGGGGAATGATGATTTATCAGACAGACTCAGATCTGTATGTCGCACTTTTTGCAACTCATCAATAGTGTGGATGTATGCAGAATCTTCAAAATATTCATAATCTTTGAAAGATTCTAACTTTGCTTATTTGTTGTTGAAGACACTAAGGGACTGATTTTTTGGTCATTGAATACTTTTATTTGAAAAAACACAAACATGATGAAAATGGTATTGTTGATTTGATTTTAAGATTTAAACATGAACTGACATCGGCTAGACAAACATTGGAAAACCAACAGGGTGAACTGAACAGCTCTTTCGTCAGCCCAGTTTTCCACTGTCTCTTCGGCAGTACGAACCCACCCCACTGACAGAGTTTGAACTCAAGATCAATATAAGGAGTTATATGCTCGAACCACTAAGTACAAAAATTCTACAATACCGTATTTAGCCGGTATTTTATGTGATGGAGACACTGTTAGACGTGAAACATATAAGAAGTTACTATGTGATTAGCAAAGTGAATCGACCCTTTCATCGTTCATCTTTCTGTAATTTTATGGTGTCACCCTTTCTATCGTTTAATTATAACTTAGCTGTTTTATTTCAGTTGTTATTACTATTATCACTATAATTTTATACTTTATGCATATTTTTCTCCTTATCGGATACTGTAATTTGCTACATAGCTGCTATAATAACGTTTTGTTATTATTATTATTATATAATGTTTATTTTTTGTAGTTTTGAGTAAATTAGATGCGATATTGTACTGAATGCCGAAAATTCCTTCCTGTATCATTAATACCGTTTTCGGAATAAAACAAAAATTATTATTATTATCTCCCATTTGCAAGGCCAGCGAACTCGTTGACCATTAAGCCAATGGGACCGGATCCGATCCATTAGCCAGCCCAAGAATTCAATCTTCTGCCAATTCACGATATAGAGTGACTGGCATTAACCAATGTCATTGGTGGAGAGTATTTGCCCTCACACGCGACCTGCTGTGCCAAAATGGTCACGATTTCCCACTGGAAGCCCAGGTAACTGACTACCCCCCTGAATAGGGCCAGTCACTAGTGAGCATCACAATGGTTTGGATGTTTGTTTTCAATGGCCTAATGGTGTACGAGTTCGCTTACCTTGTAAATAGAAGGTAGTGGATTCGAACCCTGACAGTAGGGTGGGTGCGTACTACCGGAGAGTTAGTGCCAAACTAGGTTGACGAAACAGTTGTCCAGTACATGGTGTTGGTTTTCCAGTGATTGTCTATCAGATGTCAGCTCATGATGAAATCCTGTAACCAATCAATCAAATCCCTACAAACCATCACTTGAATATCGTTTATTTGTTTAGCGTTTAAGTTTAATCATATCAGAGTGCCGATATAAAGTCTTTCAGATTTTGTTTCTCATAGAATGAGATAACCGAGTTTTTCTGGGTTTGAGGGAACATATCCAGGGACGAGTTCTGCAGGCTGAAGGACCATAGTTACCAAGTTAGTCAAAATAACTTAATCTACAGGATTCCGTGTATTGGCTGTGAGCTAAAGTATACATGTCAGACCGGGAGATTGAGGTCAATTAGGTTATCAAAAGATAGGCTTTCAGCTAGTGATCAACACTTAAGATAGATAATTAACATACAGGAAAAATCAAACAGTACAATAGTGAACTAACATCCAGTCGGATAACAGAGTGGGACAGAGTTACATTTCTAAAAAGTAATATAGTTAGGTGGATGGAGAGATTGATCACTGCATCCTTGTTCATCAAATTCAAATCAAACACCTGCAGTAGAAATGACTCAAAACCAGTTCCAGAGATCTTTTAAAATGTTTGTTACCAATAAAATGGAAGGGTACAAAGTAATGGACGTATATTATCAGAATATGAAAAATATTATGCCAATATCTTTATATGATTATGAGCAGGAAAATGTTCTCTAAACACCAACCATATAGAAAACTGTATCAAATACAATTTTTCTAGTATGTAATTATACTCTACTACAGTGCTCAAATTATATATACCAATAAGTATTCTTTTTGTATAATTTCACAGAAAATGACACATTCTTATTGCTGAGTTAGTGAAATTCAGATTTTCGAGGTTAATTCAAACTTCCCAATACATTTATAGGAATGACATAAAACAAAAATTTGAGGTATAAGTTATGCGGCAGAACATGCAATAGATATTTAAGACTAATGTGTTAACTTACACTGTTCTGAGACTGTGGCACAGTTGTGCGGTCAGGCAGAAACACTGGTTCATTTTCTTTACACAGATGACAAAATATGCTCTAAAGAAACAAACAATAACAAAAAAAGATGTATGAGGAGGGGAATTGAGAGAAAAAGAATGTTCAAGGCAAGCTTAAAGATTCAGAAGTGAATTCCTTGTTAAATACGAAAAATATGATGTGTGTACATGCGGATATAGAGGCATTAAATGTTATTTTCAAACACTTATTGAATTCTTTGAGCAGAAAATAATAAGACTGCCAAGAAGAAGATAAAAGTAGAAATATAAAATTTAACATAAAAAAAATAGAAAACTTGAACTTGTCACGAACAGCAATGACAAAGTAAGGCATTTGTTAAGTATATGTGATCTATAGCTATGTGAGTTTTAATCAGTACTGAGTGAACTTATGAATTTATGTCATTCCTTCAAATAGTCCATAATTCTGATCAAAGATAAGAATACGCAAATAAAAATGGTGTAATCGGCATCAGTGTTCACCTGGAAAGAACACTTTGAGGAGCAGTTTAACTGGCCTACAGCCACACTCAAATTACCAAACATCCAACACCTTACTGAATTGGGATATAAACACAGGTCCTCCGTCCCTAACTGAGGTTACTGGAGCTGTTACTGCATTGAAACGAGGCAAAGTAGGAGGACCTGATGGAATGACTCCAGAGGTATTTAAGTACGGTGGAGACAGTTTACTCACTGTGTTAACTGAGGTACTAGGTAGCGTCTGGGAATCAGAGGAATTCCCATCGGGTTGGTGTTAGTCACTGACTATCCCCATATACTAAAAGGGAGACAAGTCTTACTGTGACTAATATAGTATCTAAAGTCCTAGGCTCAATAATATTGCGTAGGCTAAATGGTGCTCGAGAGGCAAAAAGATGAGAGAGCAAGGCAGGTTTTAGACCAGGAATGGGGTGTACTGATCATATCTTCACCCTGCGACAGATTCTAGAACATAGGCATTCTTACCAGCGTCCAACAATCGTTATATTTCTTGACCTAAAGGCGGCATTCGATTCTGTCGACCGAGAGGCTATGGCAATGTTTGTCTGTTAAGGGAATGCCGAGAAAATACATTGCACTGATCAAGGCACTCTACTCTACGGATACAGAGGGCTAGTTTCATATATGCTAGTTTACGCCGTCTCTGGCGTAGACGTGACATCCGACTATCGACCAAAGGGCGTGTGTACTGCTCATCCGTCCTCCTTTATGGCTGTGAGCGAGACATGGCTATTCTGAGTGGAAGACATTAAAAGATTAGCTGCCTTTGATCATAGGTGCCTGCGTTCTCTCTCCCGTGCCAAGTGGTATAATAAGGGGAGCAATATTGAGGTTAGGCGTCGAGTGGCAGGTAAGGAGGGGAAATCAATCGATGAGGCTTTGAAATTATATCGACTGAGATGCTTAGGACGTGTGTTACGTATGCTTAGTCATCGCCTTCCTCGACGGGCAATGTTAGCTGACATAGGCTCAGGCTGGAAAAGAGCTAGCGGCGGTCAAACCAAAACATGGCTTCACCAGTCAATGAATTCCACAACAATTAGTTCAAGTCAGCCAGCCACGTAGGAAGGTGTAGACTTGCTGGTTGGGGTCCTCGGTACGATAAAAATCAATGGTGGCTGGAGACAATTGGTGATATGGCTCAAAATCGTTGTCAGTGGTTGGCGCAGATGCATCCACTCCTTGTGACTTATGATTTCCAATGAAACTATACTGTTCTTCGTTATCGCTATTCCTTTGTCCCATATCCCTGTCTACTGTCTCTGTTATGCATTTCTTCTACTTTCTTCTCTTGCTTTGTGTGCTACATAGAGTTTGGCAACTTGAACTGCTGCACATCGGTGCAAAGTTCTATATCGAAAACAGATAGATAGACAGAAAGATCAGTGTTCACCTTAAACTATATGAGGAGAGTTACCGACAGTCCTATCCTCAACTTCCAGTTAGACATTCAGCCTTCCAGCTCCTTGAAGGTTTCATTTCCCTTTCATTACATAGCCTGTATATATATGCATATATATATATATACTGGCTGCTGAAATCTGTTGTTGTCATTCCACATGGCAACATTTTCTACAGTAGCTTTGCGGTTGTTTATGGAATCTATCACCACATCAGTCAATAATCACTACACTTTTGTGGGGTTTTTCATTAATCTCTATGTAGTTTACAGCTGGTAATGTGAGGCTGCCAGATTTAATTCCTGGTGCCGTTAAGCGTGATCTCTAGTGAATAGTTCTTGGCCAGGATTCACTGATTCTCAGTAATTCTCGAAAGGATATCTCTTTTTTTATTATAGCTTGATTCCACACCGTATTTTTTTGTACACGTATAGAATTTTCAACATGTGATATTAATAGCTTAAATTTGCAGGCCAACCATTGATAGCAGGTGTGCATCAGTAGGGGATCGAACCCAGGACCATTTGCATGGTTGACGAAAGTCCTAGCCACTGTGCCACCGACGCAGTGAAAAAAAGTTTTAGTTGAATAATACTAACACTGAGTAAGAAATAATCCATTTCACCAGTTTCTCAGGCATGCACAAAACTCAGAACGATAATCCCCATATCCATTCGATGACTGGCAGCAATGATAATAATAATAATAAAGTGATCTTTCTACGAGTATACGATGACAGTAGAGAAGTAATATATCATTTCTGTCTAGTCCAAAATGAAGTAAAAAATATTCCGTGACTAAGTCTATCTATAAATATGAAGCATTTTCATTCTTCCTTTCCTTTTTTTCATCAACTCCTAAACTCTGCAACTCATAAATCAATTTTTCCTTTATGCATATTGCAGTACTACTGGAATGCTAATATTTACGGGAAATATGCAATGGGAAAATAAGTCGCTTATTGCAACTCTTAAATTGCGATTCAGTATAGCAAAATGCTATGTACTACTCAGTGATGTGAGTAGATAGAGCGGACTCAAGTCACCTGACAATGACTACTAGCCAGATACAAGCTTGCTTGAAGCTCTGCCTGTCAGCAGTGTCACTGGATACACTGAATTCAGAGATCTAAATAGGTTGGAGCCACTAGAAATTTGGCCAGTAACCTCAGCTATGTGATAATACATAGAGCCGAATTATACAGACAAAAGCGTATATGTTATCATGTTGTCCTCTAGGATTTGTTGTTGTTTGACATGATATTAAGCAGGTCATGTATTTTGATCTGAATGTTTTTGGTTTTCAAACGGAAATTTTCGATAACATTATAACTTTGAACTATGCTTATAGTAAATAGTGTCCAGTTAAAAAAAAGCGTCGGTGGTATAGCGGTTAGGACGCTCGCCGACCATGCACATGATCCGGGGTTCGATCCCCGGTCGACGCACTCGTTTACCTCGCTGAGCCAGAAACAAAGCTGGTAAAGAGGAAAGGTTGGGCATGAGGCTAGCAACCCCATCCTGTAAAATAAACACTGCTACAGAAACTTCGAGCGTATAGCTTGAAGCCCTATGTTCCACTGGGAACATGAAGGAAAAAAATATCCAATTCAGTCCTACTATAGGTCAGTCGCGAGCCGGAATACCTCAGTGGTAACGTCTCTGACTACAAGCAGCATTGAGTGACGCGGGTTCGAATCTCAGAAGGGGCATGAGTTCCTTCGATGTGACTGCAGATACGCCTTGCTGACTTGTGAGTGCCAATAAACACGAGACCTAGGTCGAGCAAGGCTTCCGGTGGTCGATTGTCTCCAACCGTCTAATACCAACAATCTGACTTATGCAGTTTGTAAATATCGACACGGATGCTTCTCTGGTACTCTCATATAAATTTACCAATCGAAATAGGAATGCAACTTCTAATATCATTTAAATCTCTTGAAGATTCTACCGAACAGACGAAATTAATTATTAATCTTTTTGAATATTTAATAAAAGACTGTGTGTTCTGTTAAGATCTACCTCAGCTTTAGCGACAAATTCAAATATCCCTTTAAAGATGTAGTTCATCGGCTTCTAATCAGTGGATTTCGGGTTGAAATCTCACCTTCTTCAATCTAGACATTTAAATGACATCATCAGTGCCCTTGGGTGTTTGTGACTCAACTGTAGAATGCTTGCTAGCCATGAGTTCACCTACCGACCGACACACTTCCGAAATCTCCTCTAGGCGGTAGGAAGCCCAGAAAAGAAGGAGGGTGTGAAGTGGGGCTAGGCACTTCACCTTCTGTAAAAATAAAAGCACCGGTACAGAAGCTTTAAAGCCTTGAAGCCTTTATTCCACTCGTAAAGTGAGGAATGAGTTTTATATACACATACCAATTAAATGTCCTTTGGCAAAAAGCTCGATTAAGTTTACATCACTTATATTAATGATTAGAGAACATTTCTGGGATCATACAATATTTACCACCATCAGTTATAATAAATACAAATAGTTTAAATAGATAGCCTCAGGTTCTTCTTCGCTAAACAAAAGAAGGACAGACAACAGGGATTTGAACAAATAAATAGAACAAACAGAATGACACAGACAAATATGCTTAAAAATACAAAACAAGAAACGCCTGTTACTGAGATTTGCAGCCTTGTCCTGAGTATAGGATAACAAAAAAACGGTTTATTTGCTCACATCAATTTTCCGACGTCTCAATGTTTCAACCGCCTACTCAGTCTCCTTCATTTTGTCTAACACTCTATTTACTCAACTTGTTTTCCTAGTTGTTTATAGTGTCTAAGCGTTATTATTTTTTATATGCCTTATCATGAATTGTGAGATTACCAACTGTTCAACTTTAGGAGGTCATTGTCATTTAAACCGGGATTTAGGCATACAAAAGAAATTAGAATAGAAATTTGGAAAAAACGCATTGAGTTGCTACAGAACTTAAGTAATACATATAAATATTTTCAAGTATTGGTTTGGTAGGGATTTTGTTTGATTGTATGGAGAAGACATTGCGAAATGGTCGCGCTATGTCGTGAATTGGCAGAAGTTAGAATTCAAGGGCCATTGGATCGGGTCCCAGTGGCTCAATGGTCTACGAGCTCGCCTTGTAACCAGAAGGTCCTGGGTTCGAATCCCGGTGGGTGCGTACTACTGAAGAGTCCCAAACTAGGACGAAACAGCTGTCCGGTACTCCCAGGTTTTCCAGTGGTTCTCTAACTGATGTCAGCTCATGATGAAATCCTCCATACATATAAATATGTTGTCGGTTGGATTCTTATCAGTGTAGTACTGCATCCTTTGGGAATTTATTGTTCTCCCTTCACTTCAGTACCTGATTGTTTTATCCAGCTAACATATGGATGAAAAATGCTCAGGTGTCTCTTTGTCATTGTAGTGGTCATCCAATCAGTGCTGCTGGGCTTGGTGGCGTACGCCTGTGATCTAGCTACTTGGAGGCCAGGGTGCGGAATTTCGCGGGACCAGAAGTTCTGGCATATGGGTGCTCATGTTGATCGGGCGTCCATGCTAAACACGGCGCCGATATGGATGACCTGTCGGAGGATGGGTTGTCCGGGTCGATAAGAAGGGGCGCACCGGCCCAAGGGGGAAAACCCAGCGGGCAAAAGTCCCCGCGTGGTGCGGTAGCGGGATTGCGCCTGTGAATGGTGGCCATGTGACAGCCCGGTCCACGCGTGGAGACGGCCCTCTCTTTTGTGCGTCGGTGGCACAGCGGTTAGAACTCTCACCGACCATGCACATGGTCCGGGGTTCGATCCCCTGCCGACGCACATCCGATATCAGTGGTCGGCCGGCTAAATTTGGGCTACCTATATCACATGCTGAAAATTCTATACTTGTATCAAAAATACGGTGTGAAATCAAGCTATAATTAAAAAAACTAATATTCATTAATACGTTTAAGTCAACAAAAATAGGGGATTGAGAGTTTTTGGTAGCGCGGGACCACAACCCCAGGACATTTTGCCTATCAGAATTCATCATTAGTGGGATTCATCATGTCAAGTGTTAAGAAAGATATTCACTGACGCCATTGAATGGCGGTGACGCCTCACGGCGAATTGATAGAAGTTAAAACTGACGGGGTATTAGGTCCTAACTTGACCAATGGGATAGCTTCAAAAGTGAAGGACGCAGGTCCCACCTCTGGTAGGGTTATCCCAAAACTAGTATGAAACAGCTATACCCTTCTTCATGGTTTTCAAATGTTCTTTACAAAACGTCGATTCATGACAAAATCCGCCTTGAAATATTAGTTGAAGTTGTAGGGGGGATCTCAGTGACTGCAGTACTGCCAGAAGTAGTTCTTACACTGCCATATGTATGTAATATCAATTGAACAATCATGCTTTACTTCCACTCAGTGAGTGTTTTTGAATTAGATGAGTAAGTGGGTCACATAACCTGTAAGTCCAGATTTTGGTCCAACATTTACCACTGGTGTTCAGTTATAATATCGGTTAAGTGAATTCCCACTTAATGAGTATGACCAATTCTCGTCTGAAAAATTTATAAGACAATCGGGCTTCTTAGACAACACATTAAAACTACAGAGATTTTGTAATAAAGGTTTTTGTATTTACCAATGAATGAAAAACAAAACGACATTGTTTTTACTGACGTTTCGCTATTTAATGCTAATAGCTTTATCGAAGTATTTTTAAATCGGAATTTACAAAATCTCAGCATATATATAACAAAGAGTTAAGGTGTGAGAAAACGCATTCCGAAAACATGGACCTCAACAGTCGTCATTCCATATAGAGCAGAGACGTCAGATGATATCAGAAGAGTGCTCAATCAGTTCGACATTAGAGTTTTCGTTAAAAAATCAGACACACTACGAAACAACCTTGTCCATATAAAAGACCAAATCCCCAAAGATTCTCTATCGAATTATGTCTATCAGATGAAATGCTTGGAATGTGATGCGATATACGTCAGACAAACATGGCCAGAAAGAAATCAATAAAATCAGAAGAAATGAACACCGTAGACCCACCCCTATTCGACCACCGAGAAATCCGGTCGAACTAGAAAAGCTTGAAAAATCATCAGCCTTAGGTCTACACACTATAGTATTAAGCCACAAAATTGATTTTGACAATATTGAAATAATCCAGAAAAACTTCAGAAATCACAAAGAACCTCGTCTAATATCAGAAGCACTTCATAACAAGTGGAATCCAGATAGTGTGAATAGGAATGATGGACTAAAATAAAATCTGACCTGATTACAACACCTCCCTCCCCTCCCCCATGAAGTGACAAAATCAACACGAATGTGATATGCAAGTCCACTATGTAAACACACACTACCTTTATAATTTTACACACTGATCAAATCCAACAATCTACACTTGATTTTGTTATCTTTACCAAATTACCAACTTGACAACGACAAATGACCCCAGACTAACGAACGATGATCAAGTTAGTAAACATTATTTTGATACCATAACAGATGTACTGTTACCGTTGTTATTTGGTTTAGTGATCTTCATTGGTATTTTAACTTGACCTAAGTCTGTTTTCTCACCCCTTGACTCTTTGTTATATATATGCTGAGATTTTGTAAATTCCGATTTAAAAATACTTTAATAAAGCTATTAGCTGCATTAAATAGCGAAACGTCAGTGAAAACAACAATATCGTTTTGTTTTTCATTCATTGGGAAATACAAAATCCTTTATTATAATGAATATCATATACCCAATGCCCAAATTTTTCCAAACTGTTAAAAGTGAACTTGGTTTGGACATATACAGAGATTTTGTTTCTGATTGACATCACCAATAAAACCACGCGCTGGATACGTATTTTATCCTAAGTTAAGAGTTGTTGTTAATTGTCCAACTTCTACTAATTCACATCGTACCACATTCAAACCTGATACCAAGTCAGTCTACAAAACTTGCTTGACTATATATAATCTGACAGACAACTAATCAACCATAATGGTAAATGCTGATAATTTTACATCAGAAGTAATAAATAGATGGTTCCGTGGTGTGTTACTTTCAACAATTCCCCGGTTTATTTTTAACCCATAATTAAAATCTACGAAACTCGTACAAATCTGACAACTGAATATCTCAATGATTACTTTAAATTACTAGTAGTAGGGGTAGTAGCAGTAGTATTGTCACCATTATTAAAATAAAAGTGAAATCACACTTACACCATGTAGTGCTGTATATTGTACATGAAATGAAGCCATCTGTTCTTCACCTTTTATTTCAACAGAGATTTGTAGACGAATGGCGCCAGATACTGCTGATTTGTCGGTTCGTTTCTCTGTAGATTGAAGATTTGTTTGTTTTTTCAAAATAAAGGGTCGAATAGAAAAAAATGACCAATAAATAATAATATACAAACAGTTTTTCATGGAGACTTCACATGTATCAAGCAATAATATACCTTGTGATATACATTTTACCACCAAGAAAGAAATTATAATACTTTATTTCTAGACATCTTTATGACTATGATATAAGATGGAGGAATAAGTAGGATACCATATAAATTGGTTGGGATGCACATTTTTTGAAATGTGTAATTATACACGCAGTTAAGTAAGGCATTTGTTTCACAGAGCTGGGGTGACCTTCCCTAATGACTGTTGTCCAAACTGGTCCCCATATTGGCGGGAAACAAGAAGACTGGCACTGCTTAATAGTGTACTGGTTGGCAGAAGATTGAAATACGGTCAGAAGCATTGTTGTACATTATATTAACGCTTATTTATAGACTTTCGCAGTGACTTAGCATTGTAAATCTGTTTTATTATCATATGGAGAATAATAGCTTGTGTTGTTCAACTGTTTTCTGTTGTTCTGCGTATTAGGCTTAGTGTTCAGGTCCAGTATCTCTGCGATCTGGATATTTGACAATTGTCCTAATAAAGAACTTTAGATTCTTAAAAAATTACTTGATAAGTTATAATTATGCATAAAAGTTCCTTAATAAAAATACAGAGTGACCGTCAAGGCTGGAAGACAGTATGTTAACAATTCCAAAGAAGTCTGCTCTCTCAACATCAGTGAAATAATAGCACAACATCTATAGAGTGCAGCAAAAAAGAGCATTCAATACAATAGAAGTTCTTTCTGTTCACAGGCACTTTGAATTTACATTCGGGGAGTTAAACATAAACCACCCAAAATTAGCCTCCTTAATGTATATCTACTAGTTCGTCTGCTTCAGTGGAGTCAGTTAAATTAGACATATTCATTATCGGATTTCAGAACATCATCTTGCATGGTCACGCTAGCAGGGACACACAAGATCTACTCTCAACTCTGTTTTTAACAGGCCTTGTAGATACTGAATGCAAAGTTAATGTTAGCAACGAATTTACAGGTATCTGTCAAATTCAGGGTAATTTTAATTTCGCCTTGCGAGTTTGCCTTCTAAATATGGTTAAAGTCATAGAAATCCACCGGAAAGAAGCCAAACGAAAGTCCTACAGCTACTTTCCTAACATCGGGCGTCATTACTTAATCGTACAAACCTGAAAGTTTCCTCCTCGTCCTAAGCCATTTACGAGTCACCACATTTTTAGCCATATTACAGTTCTAGACCTTATTGTTGTATTAGTCTTCTTATTAGTTTTTCATGGTACACATTGTGGTATCATGTATTTAAACTTATTACCAGTCACATGACCTCCTCCAAGTCACCCTCGCATTGACGACCAACTCGTCGCTTCCCTTTCGGGTTCCACTCGAGGGCTTGTCTAGTGATGTCCCCTGATGGTTTCCTTAGAGTATGGCCAATCCATCTCCATTTTTTCCTGCATATTTGTTACACAATCGGTTCCTGGTGGGTTGGTTCGGCCATTGCCAGAGATCCCTGTTCCTGATATTTTCTGGCCATTTGATCTTGAGTAGTGTTGAGCGAAGACAGCTGTTGATGAAGGTCTGTAGTTTGTTTGAGATGCTCTTCATGACGCGCCAAGTCTCTGATCCGTATAGTAGCAGTGACTTCACATTGGAGTTGAAAATCCGGACCTTATTTTTCATGCTGAGTGCTGTTGACCTCCAAACAGACTTGAGAGTAGTGAAGGCTTATCTTGCTTTCCCGGTCCTTGCCTTGATATCCTCATCAGTTCCACCTGTAGTTGAAACGATGATTCCCAGGTGGAAAGCATCGTTTCAACTGATATGATTATGAACAACAAATTGTGTTCTAAACGTCATCCAGTAAATAATACTGTTTCACTGTGTGACACATCTAATATGGAAGTACTTATTATCACGCTGCCCATACAGAGATGTGTTGTTAAAGCCCTACGTTCCACACATAATCCAAGGGAAAAATAGTGAGTAATATAGTATATATGACTCGAGTGTTTGTATCTGTCTTAAAATCTTCGGTCTGGAGAAAGTATCTGCAGTTTATCTATTTCAATACTACTACTAATACTGTAGTAAGAGCTGTCTGCTAGCCAAAACTGGTAGCCAGCAATAACCAATCATAGCAGACTTAGCGTGGGCGGATACGACTAGCAGATATATCAATGGACTGTTTAAGATACAGCAACAAAGAAATGACAGGATAACCTTCAGAAGGAAAACAACCAATCAGAAGACGTTCTTTCTCTGCTAATAATAACGAATGATAATGTACATAAAAATCTATAAATATCTCTTGATTTCCTCGATAAACGATCTGTTGCCTGGTCTTTGTCTTCTGTCGCTACACTACTACTATTGTGGACAGTACCTTTTTGTGGTCTGTAGAGGACATGCTAACTGCTTTGACTGCCTTAACTCCACTGCTGGAATTTATGGAACTGGGCTCTCCTACATGCTTTAACAGGCATATACTAACTAGTCAAAGAGATCATGGAAATGGAAGTGTGTAGAATTTTCGAAAAGACGCACAAACACACAGTAATTTTACTAGATTTATAAACTTCTTAAAATGCATTAATGAAAACAAAACACGTAGTTCATTATTGTCTGGGGGGGGGGGGAATTATTCATGGATTCAAAGAATGCATTAAGTCGTATTAGAAGCATGCTAAAAACATTCATGCAGCCCAACGGAAAACTAAGTTTCTGAATATGTGTGTGATCACTAATTGATAGGCTTTTATTTTAGGGTACAGATGTTCGGTGAAAACTGCATACCCGAGTGTATCCGATTAGGATTCACTGAGCATTTCAACAAACACGAAGATGTGATCACAAGCCTCCACTTTGTGTTGTCACAGCATTCTTGATCGCTCTGAACTCTCACGTCCCCTGTGTGAATTCGCAACACAGTGGAGTTCATTGGAATTAAACTTTCAAATTTCAAATTTGGACTACTACAATGACTGACACTACACTGATAGAGTGCATCAGTTGTTGTCGCTACCACAAAAAAGTACTAAAAATATGCTGAGAAAACTGTTATTGTTTAACTGACAACTTACCAAGATTATACCATACATCCATTTCACCACTGAGTGTTCTCACTTCAATAATTGTTTGACCCAAGAAATCATCCGATTCTCTTGTGAACTTTTGTCTTATTTTAGACTTTAAATCATTGTCTTCATCCCTGTGAAGAAAGATAATACAAATGCATAGATATTTCAGTGGCCAATCAGGTGCTAAACAATAGACATGGTAAATGAAATATCCCCATATTGAAATCAAAACAAGATTTTGAGCGAACAACTGTTTCCGATAACTTCTTCTTCTTTAGGCTCTACAGTTATAAATCCATGAATAATAGAGTGCATATAGCCAATAAAGGCAAATGAAAATAATATCAGAAACTGAATTGGGGTGCATGTATAATTTGAGATGATAGTCCATTAGTTAACATAGTCAATCAAATGTGTATAAGGTGTATAGTCAGAAAAATGTGATGAAGTGTGAATGAACAGTTGGGTGATATAGTGCTGTTTTATAGTCAACACAATACAAGTGTCATTGGGGTGAGAGAAATTCGATAAACACAAAATACATACAAACACACATTAACAAAGGGGACAGTGAATGGATAATACAGACATTTCTCCACCCAGTTTATTTCACCTCATTGTTACCCTTAATTTTGTCAACCTTTGTGATTTTTTACTAAGCCTACCAATTCTGTAACATCTTATTACAATTTAAAATTTAGCCTATTTATTTTTTCATTAGACATTATCGGTCAGCTCTCACATTCAGTGTCCCCTTTGTTAATGTGTCTTTGTATGTATTTTGTGGTTATCGCATTTCTCTCACCCAAATGATACTTGTATTGTGTTGACTATAAAACAGCACTATATCACCCAACTGTTCATTCACACTTCATCACATTTTTTCTAACTATACACCTTATACACATTTGATTGACTATGTTAACTAATGGACTGTCATCTCAACTTACACATGCACCCCAATTCAGTTTCTGATATTATTTTCATTTGCCTTTATTGGCTATATGTACTCTATTATTCATGGATTTATAACTGTAGAGCCTGAAGAAGAAGAAGTTATCGGAAACAGTTGTTCGCTCAAAATCTTGTTTTGATTTCAATAGACATAGTGTTTGGCGATAAGAAGGATCACAGAGGAAGAAAGAATAGAAATCTGTTTCTGTAAACAGTATGTAGGACTTGCATTCCTGAGGATGAAAGTGTACCTTTATAAAGCTTTCCTCTAAACAAATACCTTTTGAAAGCAGTACAATAAAAGATAAACAGCTATAGAGTTATATGATTTATACATATGTAAGTTAACTTCCCTTATGTCACTTAATCTACAGGGTAGGTTGTTTTTGAATAAATAATAATTATTTTGACAATTTAAAAATAATCCAGAAAATTTCAGAAGTCACAAAGAATGTCTGATATCAGAAGCACTTCATATCAATTGGAATCCAAATTGTCCGAACAGGAATGATAGACTAAAACAGAATTTGACCTCATTACAACATCCCGCCCACTCCCCATGAAATAACAAAATCGATACGAATGTGATAAGCAATTTCATTATGCAAACACAAGCTGCTTTTACAATTTTACACACTTATCAAATCCATCAATCTACACCTAGTTTTGTTATCTTAACCAAATGACAACAAAAATGCCCCCATACTGAGGAACGATGATAAAGTTGTTATATATTTGCTGAGATTTTGTAAATTCTGGTTTAATATAGCTACTTTGATAAAGCTATTAGCTGCATTAAATAGCGGAACGTCAGTGGAAACAACGATATAGTTTTGTTTTCATTCATTGGGAAATACGAGAAAACCTTTATTATAATGAATATCATATACCAAATGCCCAAAGTTTTTCAAACCGCTGAAAGTGAACTTGGTTTGGACATATATAATAATGTTTTTCTTTAAATGACCGAAAATACCCATTGAGTAGTGAAGAAAATGAAAGACACTTCAGTGAAGAAAATTTTTTTTCGATGAAATCATCAACTAGGCTGTACATTCATGTATTTATATAAGATGTTTGAGGAAGTTCCAGAATTCTCTTCCGACGAAAGGTCAAATTAATAAAATTACTGAGTGTAATAAGCAGAAATAGTTAGTGTTACTATTCTAGAAATATTTCACGTCAAAGGTCAAATTCAAAACTACAATATGTAATGGTCTGGAAGGTCAGGTAGGAAATACATAATAAGTTATAATTACTCAGAAATGGCTTTAGAAGGAGAATCAAGGTTTCAAAGTACGTGGTACTCTAAGGCATAATGGAAAAAAGGATTAGAAATTTGATAAGGTTAAAGGTAGTTGATTGTCAATTTAACAAGTGTGAAATGTACAAAAGGAACATATGAGAGTGATAGTAGTGAATCAATTATTAAAGTATACTAAAAAGGGAAATTGAAAATTAATAAATTATTTTTTTCTACAGGGAACGAACAGTGAAGAGGTTAAAACCATGGTAAAATAAGAGAATGGAGAAAATTTTTCTTTAAATAGAGTTAGAGGTTGTATTAACGAATTGTCAACGCCTTCGCCATACATAAGCCGAAACCTAACCACTCGGCCTCACCTTGTAGATGATCTTGAAAGACAACTCTGGTGGATCTGAGTGGCTTGAGTTCACCGAGTGCTAGAGGATTGAGCCAGTAACTGCCTTGCATTGTCCTTTTGCTAACCATGCCGGATAATGTTCAGAGATGCGTTCAGAAGGTGTGCGCTTTGTGTAGCTAATATAACTAGCTCCCTAGGAGCATATGAATTTATAAATACACATTGAAGTGACCCAAAGTGGCAGTTTATCCTTCACACATCCATTGGTCATTTGTCGACTGTAGAAAGTGATCCGTAGCTAAGCCGAAAAGAAGGCTTTTCTCAGTGATCTGGATAAGCGGTTCTTCAGAATCTCAGTCGCGACCCCAACCAATGTCGTCGGTGGAACATCCATCCTCACACGTGACTGGATGAACCTCACTGGTTACAATTTCTAACAAGAAGTTAGAACTCGAAATACAGTTCGTAAGTTCAGATGAATTGGATGTTGATATATGAGGGTAGTACCAAAAGTGATGAGTTGTCACAAATAATTGTAAATGGAGAGTTACGTAATGAAATGAATAGTTTGATGAAAGAGTTGTGCTCAGGGTGAACATGCAAACAAAATAACATACGGAATTACACAAGGGTTTTAAGTAGTTAAAAAAAATAAGCAAACAAGCAAAAGTTCAGTCAAATCAACAGAGTTGTTACTATGATGGTAGAAGTGGTTGAATAATTTACTTTTGTATGCATAGTTCTGGTTCTTCCAATTGAATGGCCAGGGCTTCTGCAGTGCAAAGAAGATGGAAACGTATTGTCTTTGGCAGGTTGTTTCTTCACTTTGTAGATTACTTTGAAGCTGGAGGCGTTTGTTGAGATGGAATGACCAATGGTGACGAGATGTTCGATGATTGCACTCCTTACACGGCCACTAAGACCTTTCTGTAGCCACGCTGGATAGTGTTCTTTGACCCTTTTTGACAGAATGCGCATCAAACGACCGATGTACCTGGCTGGCTCAGCAGTAACAGGTGAACTGATATAAACACACAGAAGCGGTCAGGTGAGAGACCTTGTCCTTCAGGTTTCTGCGTATCAGCGGGCGACTGGAGAACACTACTCTCAATGTTGCCGCGAAGAAAGTTCTTCTTGAAGAAGTGGAAATTTTCCTCTTGAGGACATCACTGAGTAGGTCACCTTTGAAGTCGCGGTTCATATAAAGCACCTATTTTGGCAGGGATGGCGCCTCTTGCTTTTGGATTTTCTGTTTGATGGTTTTGTCTATGAATCTTGGTGGATATCCGTTTTGTACCAAGATTTCTTTCAGAAAGTGAAGTTCTTCTTCCAGGGTGTCAGAGCTGCAGATGATTCGGAAGCGAGTAGCAAGAGATCTAATTAAGTTTTTTTCCGACTGATTGGTATCCACCTAAAGAAGCTTGTCATCTGGCTACTCAATTATAAGAACCAGAACTATGCATACAAAAGAAAATTATTCACCCACTTCTATTATCATGATAACAACTCTGTTGATTTGACCTAACTTTTACTTGTTACGTTAATCAGAATTTTGTTTTGTTTCGATGTTCACCCTGAGCACAACTCTTTCATCATACTATTCATGGTATCAAGTAACTCTCCTTTCACAATCGTTTGTGATAACCCGTCACCTTTGTTACTATCCTCTTATGTCAATATCCAATTCCTCTGAACGCTTTTTGTATTACGTAACTCCACCGAAAACGTATCAATTGTATTTTCGTTTGACAAATTTAATGTAGACACACATCCAGGAAAACCATATATATGTTTGTAATTGTACAGGTGTGGAAATGAATTCGCCGAAAAGAGACTCTTCGTTTAACTCCTGACCCATGAATTCTAACTTCATTGATTCGCCAAATAGCTCTCCCTTCAAACAAAGGCCTCGACCAGCATCGACCTCACTATAAACGTGACGTACCCTGCTGGCCACAAATTCTCATGACGGCTTCATGACACTCATTAAGCAACCATCAATGGAATGGAGAATTCATGGTTCATTGAATTCCAGCCGAAGTGAGTTAATGTTCATGATTTTCATGGTACACACAGTTCAAGGTGAGAATAAGCCTTATGAAAACTAGTCAAAAAAAAGCAAGTTACATCACATGATGATATATACTACTGGTCCATATAAGTAGTTAGAAATTAGTTACGTCTACTAGTAGTATTTGTTAGTCTAACCATATCGAAGGGAACACTGAGAGGCTCTTCTGCTCATATTAAGTCGAGCTCATCAATGGTGTAGACAGAATAATTCAATTCAGTCGGCTGAATCGCTTAAGACCACTTGAATCCTAGGAGGAAGCTGATAAACAAGCGACACGACTGTTTTGCGCTAAAATCAGTTTTAAGTTTTGGTTTTGTTGGGAATTTTGTTTGATTGGTTGTAGAATTTAATCATGAGCTGACGTTAGTCATAGTTAGTTAGGGTGCGTACTGTGAAGAGTCCCAAACTAGGACGAAATAGCTGTCTGTGCAGAATCTTGTCAGCTGGCCACTCAGTTAAAAGAACCAGAACTATGCATACAAAAGTAAATTATTCAACCACTTCTACCATCATAGTAACAACTCTGTTGAATTGACTGAACTTTTGCTTGTTTGCTTATTTTTTTTAACTACTTAAAACCCTTGTGTAATTCCGTATGTTATTTTGTTTGCATGTTCACCCTGAGCACAACTCTTTCATCAAACTATTCATTTCATTACGTAACTCTCCATTTACAATTATTTGTGACAACTCATCACTTTTGGTACTACCCTCATATATCAACATCCAATTCATCTGAACCTACTAATTATATTTTCGTTTGGCAAATTTAATGTACACACATACAAAATAACCATATATATTTACCATTATACAGCTACGAAAATGAATTCTCTAACTGATGTCAGCTCATGATGAAATCCTCCATGAAAATGAATTCACCGAAAAGAGACTCTTCGCTGAACTACTAGTCTTCTGTCTATTAATGTTCGAATAGGGATTTTTCATGATTCTATTAGTTACTTGTTTTGATGACCTTTAACCTCTTAATTTTAACCCCTCCCCCCGTATCTCTGAAACTGATTAACTAAAATAACCACTTGATTGATAAGATTTTGATATCAATAACTATATGATGCGAAAAGATATAACAATCAGTTCCTTGAAGATATTGACTTTGATATACAAAATATTTAAGCATAATACTTACCAGACACGAAGTTTAATACGTTCTGAAGCATTGTCACATTCACTGAAAGAAGAAACAAAATAACATAACTGAAAGTTATTCACAAATTTACACACATCCAATAGAGATTAATGATCAGTGAGTCAATTACATTTACGATGATATTCTGTATGTATCTTTTTTCCACGCGTTGATTTGAAAATCCAGTTAGTTTCCAGTATCCACTTTTCTGTGTTATTTTATGCGACAGTGAAAGTGACATCTTTGTGAATACACTCAAGCTTCAAATTTATTGATCTAAAGTAGAAACAAATCGCAAATAACACAAGTGGTCTACCTAGATCTCTTTCTTGAAATCTGGTCCACATCCGAGTGGTTCATCTTCAGTTTAGATGAACAAGTGCAACTTAGTGTTGACAAAGTAGACAACTTTACCGTTTCACTCCTAATGTCACGAATAATGCACGTGGTCCGAGGTTCGATCCCTCGCCGACGCACTCCTTTACCTCGCTAAGCCAGAAATAATGCTGGTGAAGAGGGAAGGTTGGGCATGAGGCTAGCAACCTCATCCTGTAAAATAAACACTGCTACAGATACTTCGAGCGTATAGCTTGAAGCCCTATGTTCCACTGGGAACGTGAAGGAAAAAAATCATGAATAATTCCTTTTCAGAATTGGACTATATCCAAGAAACAGTCGCCTGATAATAGGTCAACGAACTTGCTGTATACTGATCGGTCAAGAAGAGAGGTAGTAGTCAGTGAGATCAAAGGCAAAAGATTTATTTAGTTTGGTGGCAAATTTTATGATGTAATTTACAGTTTCAAAGGGATGTAGGGAGGGAGATAACCTAAGCTTCTAGAAGAGAGAAGTTACACACACAGAGTTGATAAGCACCCACAAACAAGATGCCTTGAAGCAAATGTTCGTTATTTAAGGGAGGTGTCCTGTACACCTTGTTGATACACTTTGATAGTCATCTGAATCCAGTGAATAATATTTAATAATCGAATCAAGCTGATTTTTTAATCGTTATAATGGAATAGAAGATGGTTTCAATGCTGGTGAACACTCAATCGTTTGTTTGTATGAACTGGTCTCCACATTGGCGGGAGACAAGAAGACTGTCATTGCTTAGTCATGCACTGGTTGGCAGAAGCTTGAAGAAATACGGTCGGAAGCATTGTTGTACATTATATTAACTCTTATTTACAGAATTCGGCACTGATTAACCATTGTAAATCTGTTTTATTATCATATGGAGAATAATAGCTTGTGTTGTTCAACCGTTTTCTGTTGTTCTGTGTTGGTTACGGAGCATAGTACTCTGTGTATTATGCTTAGTGTTCTGAAACCAGTGATAGGTCTAGGATCTCTGAGATCTGGACATTTGACGGATGGCTTTAAATACTATCCAAATAACTATACTTCTCAAAGCTATCAAATATTGCATTGGTATGAGCATTAATGTATACATTTATATTCATATATATGAAAAGTTGTTAATTAATATAAATGATGAAAACAGGACAGTATCTTAATTATCACAGCCTCTTTCCTGTTCTATACAAAACAGCCGTAGTGAGTTGCCTGTCTAGTAGAATTCGACGAATATGCAATCAAGATACACCTGAAGATGAGGAAAGAAAACTGACGGAAACTCTGGTCAATGATAATTATCGAGAGAAGCTCGTAAGGAGTTTTAAAGTGATCAGAACACCAGGATTAATGCTTCAACTCTCCACTAAGAATGATGTGTATGTCAAGTCACCCTATATGGGTGATCATCCCAGCTTGACAACTAGACAAAGATTGAACGCAACGGTTGAAATAGATTTTTAATGTATCTAAGATCGGAATAATCGAGAATGTGAAGCTTACATCTAAGCTCCAAGAACATAAACAAGTAATGTCACAACCAACTGTGCCTACCGATTTCAATGTACTTGACGTCACATATACGTAAGGAGCGGTCATCGATGTTTGAAAGTAAGAGTTTCAGAGTGTAATCCTAAATGACTTTAGAAGCAAATGGAATTCTCTGAACTCATTAATGGTGAAAACGGACCTATGTCTTGTGTTGAGAAATATATTATAAAGGCGGGACATAAAATTTATGTTTACACGTCTTTTAAACCTATATATAAAAAGTGTTTGAGACGTATCCTAAACTTCGTGGAAGTGCTAGCAATAAGGAAGTTTACACCACCTTTATGTGTTCAAAAACAATTCACCATCACATTTAACTTTCCTTGGTTAACTTTTTTTTAATACCAGGGTAGATGTACTATTGCCTTTGGTTTATTGATCTCCAGTGATGTTTTCACCAACAGTATGTTATTTTAGCCTTATCTCCGTCTAATCTCGCACCTCTTTAGTTCTTTATTATTTTCATATGATATGTGATAAGTTCGCGTGTGATCAGATTGTTCGAAATGTGGTGAGCAAATACAGTACACGACTGTGATAAATTATTTCTTCTTATTGTTTTGTCAAAATTCACTAAGGGAATTAATTGTTCCAAATTATATGCATATATATATATATATATATTTATTTATTAATATTTAGGTTACATAATTTCTATCAAAACACCATTCGAGGTTGTGACAGATGACTGAGTTAAGCACTATAAGTTCCCTTACTTTCGAAAATTTTGATGTAGTTGAGTTATCTGAGCTGGGTGGTTTACTTGCAAAGCTTTCATTGCCCTACCAGGCAACATCGTCAGAGCATACGCTTCAATTTGTTGAAGTGAGCTTTTATATTTCTATACAAGTTTATCAGTCATCTCTTCTAGCGACCTTGAACGTGATTGGTCGCTCTTGTCTGTCTTCACACCCTCTAGTCTATTTGTATTGGTACTGATTGCTTCCTTGACCAATCACGTTCAAGGCCACCACCAGGAGAGGCGACTGATAAACTCGTATAGAAATCTAAAAGCTCACTCCAACAAATTGAAGTATGCTCTAACGATGTTGCCTGGTAGGGCAATGAAAGCTTTGCAAGTAAAATATCCAGCTCAGAGAACACAACTACGTCAAAAACCATCCACCTGAGCTACCTAAAAACAAAAACACCTATCATTGTGTTCAAACAATTGAAATATAATAACAATTTTAATTTAATGTGTCCAAGAAAATACACTAATAAGTGAATACAAATCATGAAGTTCTGTCTGTGTAGGAGGATTCGATAGGCGTACTCAATATAATTTGCATCCAAATAGGGTATATTCAATCGCTGCGTTAAATCATGCAAGCCAATATCCTAATGATTATATTATATTATATCCCCCCGCCACAGCTCTATCCTAGAACACTTGATCGAATCCGGACACCAAGCAAACCCACAAAACAACTTCTCAGTTATCTACACAATACGTGGGAATCTTGCCAAAAGAGTACGAATTAAACTTCTTCAAACTGCAGAAGCAATGGCAATTCACATATTGAATCCTGAACTCTGCATACAAAAGAAGTTTGTTCAGTCACTAAATCTACAATGGTCCTGATCTATCTCAACACCAAATACGTAATTTTGTCTTACCTCTTTCTTCTTTGTTTGTCTGTTTCTTAATTGCATTATTTTCTACCCCCACCCTCTATTAAATCTCCACCCTCATGACGACTGTTGCTAACTCCAATTTCGTTTATTTTTAAGTGAATTCTACTCAGCTTATCAACTTAACTCTCATCCATTTTCAAGTGAATTCTACTCAGATTATTAAATTGACTCTCATTCATTTTTCATTGAACCCTAGCAATTAGATTACGTCACCCAACCTACTTTTGTAACTTTATTTTAGTTTCTAACCGATTAACGCCTTCTAAATTACGTAATTTGTTGTCAAAAAATTAACAATTGCATTAACACATCTTTGGAAATATTCCTTTTGTTGCCAAGAAAAATTACCATAAATTTGCGGTTTGTACAGCTTGAGAATGATATCGCCGAAAAGAGTAACTCTTTGCTGAACGCCTTTTCTTTTCTATAATGATTATAAGTTTCTGCATGTTTACATGTAGTAATTTTAAGCGGACTGGATTAGTGAGCCCAGAATTTTTTTCCTTCACGTTCCCCATTGGAACATACGGCTTCAGGCTAGTTTCTGTAGCAGTGTTTATTTTGCAGGATGGGGTTGCTAGCCTCATGCCCAACCTTTCCTCTTCACCAGCATTATTTCTGGCTTAGCGAGGCAAAGGATTGCGTCGGCCGGGGATTGAACCCCGGACCATGTGCATGGTCGGTGAGCGTCCTAACCGCTATGCCACCAACGCTCAGAATTATTTTCACCTAATTCTCTAGTTTCTTCTATTTGACTTTTCCATCGATGCACAGAGTTATCATTGCTTCTTCGAAGACTTTTCTTTGTATGTTACTTATAATGAGATAAGTAGGACACGTTACAGTGTCAGTAATGTATGGTAATAATAATAATAATAAGTAAAGTAGAAGCTGACAGTAAATCACAGGATGTGGTGTTGTTGCAACTGAAGTAGGATTCGGTCCTCTATGACATTATTCCTCAAACTCCTTCAAGAATCTTAAAACGATACGTAGAAAACTAATTGAATATGTGTGTAAGTTAATACATGGGTTCAAAAACACAATTGGATAATTCGGACAATTAAATGTGAGGAGTTTTTGTCTGTCCAATCAAATGCTTGCGAAAAGAAGTCGACAGCATAGATAACCCATTCCATTCAATGAACTAGGGAAGTTTATTACCCTAGACTCAAACGATATCTGAACTACCAACCAGTCTTAAGTTTACCAGTCACATGATTACCTGCCGACTGAAAAAAAGAGATTCAATGTAGAAACCTAGTCAATCACTTCAGTAAATTTATCTTGACAGAATATACAATGATGACTGGTTAGATATCTGCAGATAGACAATTGGTTGCTTTTGGATTCATACCCAGATCAACTGAAGTGGAAGTTAGACAACGTAGACTGTATGTATCTGAGATATAATCATAAGACTGCGTTTAGCCTTCTTTTGAACCTTAAATATGCATTGACAACACACAGTGTTTATATAATTAGGTGCTTTGACAGCGCAACAAATCAGGAACCTCTTTAAGATTATACAGAGGGTAAAAAGATGTTTGAATGTTTTAATTTTAGTTCCTGTCACGCGTTTAGTAAGGAGACAATACAGTTGGAGCTACTTTCATTCTACGTTTTCCCGTCTTCATTTTTAAAACACTTTTAAAATGCAACACAGAAACTAAGGAAAAATAGTGAAAACAAAAAGTGGTAAACACTTCAATATAATATATATGGCAATTTATTGATTACTTACAAAAGAAATTTTTCATCCCAGGTTGGATTCAATTCTTGCAGGACAGTTTTAGTGCGTTTACGCATTTTGCCAACTTGTACTGTTACGTAAGGATCACTGCGTCCAGTTTTATCCTTACCGATTAATCCCTGAGCAGATTTCACTTGAACGATCGATCAATTGCACGAAGACGTTAGAGGCAATGGTAATGATGACAAAAAAGGGGAGTGAAGATGATTAGAAAAGGAGAAATAGAAAACGGACGTTAAATGGGATTAGTTTGCACTAGATACCATAAATGCAATAACTACTACACAACATTTAAAAAAAGGGGTATTTATTTATTTATACGAAGTGAAACGATGATAGTTGTTTGTTATCATTGCATTCTTTTCTCCTCATCCAAATGAATAACCATCCCAATCAGAATAAAATTTGTTAATTTAACAAAATGATTCATTTTGTTTGACGAGTTGATCACGGGTTGATATCAGTTAGAGAACCATTGAAAACTAGCAGGGAGTACTGGACAGCCAGCTGTTGCGCCCTAGTTTGGGAATCATCGGCAGTACGCACCACTGGGGTTCGAACCCAGGACCTTACGGTTACAAGGCAAGCGAGCTCATATACAATTCAGTCACTGGGACCCGATCCAATGGCCCATGAACTAAAGCTTCTACCAATTTGTGATTTAGCGCGACTGGCACCAACCAATGTCATCGGTGGGACATCCATCCTCACACTTGACTGGATGGATCTCACTGGTCACAACTTCTCACTAGAACTTCAGAAAACTCCGTCCTGTAGCAAGTCACTAGCGAGCATCAGATTAATTTTCAAGAGTTTTGTTTGTAAGGATTTGATCTGTTTATACTCATCAATCATGAAAATAAAGTGTGAATATCTTAAATCAAATATTAAAAAACATAGACGATAACTATAATAAGCCCAGTGACAGAGAATTTGTTCTGGTAAGCAGTAACAAAGAATTCTGGCCGCTAGAGAATGACATTTTGTCCAAGAAGCATCCAGAAGAAAATATAGGTGGACCGGGCACACCTTATGGAGACATTCATTTGTCATCACAATATATACTATGAAGTGGAATTTGAATGGGAAGCTACAGTCCATTCCGACTGTAACATGGAGAAGATCGTGTGAAGAGAAAATGATAGCTTGTTGGCAGTCATGGAGCCAGCTAAAAGTCACAAGATAAAATGAGGTGAAGACGGGTTGCCGAAGCATTGAGTTGTACTAAGAGTTGGAGCAATGAATAGTAATAATAACAGTAACACTGGAATGACTCTGTCGCAGTTGAAGGTGTAGCATGGAACAGCCAATTGCATTTGGTCAATTTTTACACAAAAGAAAGGTAAATATACAGACTTTATAAGAAATGACTGAATGCTTGGGAAAAATATGGGATTTGTATATTCATTTTGCCCACGGTTATGGTGAACTGCAACATAACTCATATTTTTCTAAGATGTCATATTTTTTTTCAGCATTTCTACGATGATGGGAGCACAAAAATGTATAATGCAGTTGAAAAGAACAAACTGTTTAAAATCCAAAAATTGGTGTTCAGTTTATCTGCTTAGCTACGAATAAACTCATGCGTGTGAATCAGGGTCCGTTTTTAAAAAAGTCCTCGTCAATGCAATGAAAAATCTAGATTTAATAGGGAGATTGACTTTATCGGGACTTAGTTGATTTGAAGGGAGTTCAATACACAGATATTTAGTGTTTTTTCACGATCAAACGCTCATACTACTATCCAGAGAATTGATAAAGTGCTTACTTAATACCCATCATTCAAAGAGATGGCTGTCTTCGCTCATGTGGCCTTGGGCATAACGCTCTGTCGTTGGAAACTATGGGTGCTAAGTTTGATTCTCAATGAGAACACTATCATTCACTGGAGACTTCAGGTATATCCAGCTGAAGAGTTCCAAATTACACGATATGCCCATCCTGAATTACTAGTCACTATTCTAACAAATGACATCAGGTTAATCTTCAGATGTTATCGAAGTATCCGTACTTACAGCCGACATGTCAATAGGAAATGCAAATTCAACACAAACAATTAATATTTAGATTGTATTTTGGTAGCTATAGATTCTGCTGCTCATGGCTTTGTCAATGCATACAAACTCAAAATTTCTCATACATAAACAAGAAAGCCATGTAATGCTAAAGCCTTTTAGCTGTTCACCGGACGTTGTCAGTTCATGATGAAATCTGGTTTCAGAGGAGTGGTATCCGCACTTGAATTAACCATGTGAAAGTCAGAAAGTCATAACAGACATTTATCATTAAATTGTAGTGACGATTTTTAGGAGTTAAATGACTCTAAATCAGCACTACCTAAATCTAAAGTCATAAGGGTTTCTATCGGGATAAGTCCCAACCTTTTCGGTCAGAAGTTATGCTGATGCAAGAAACACTTCCTTATAACCAGTGTCAGCACACAGATAGCGAATACAATTTATGTAATATCCTTGATAACTGAGAGGAACCTCTTCAGGACGATTATCATTATTCCCTTGAATTCCGAGTGGAACATTGGGCTTCAGCAACACATCTCCACTTTGTTTTATCTTCTGCTGTCCTCTTTAGCTGCGCCCATGGTTGCCCATAATCTCTCATCTCCTCTTCCAACTCACACTTTCTCCTCCATGTCACCCTAGGACAACCCATCTACATTCCACTCGAGCGCTGGTCTCCTCAGCGTATACCCAACTGAACTCCATTTTCTCCTACTTATTTTTTGAGCGATCGGCTCTTGGCTGGTTTGTTTCCAGAGCTTCTTGTTACCTATTCTTTATGTCTAGCCATTCTATCTTCAGTATGGACCCAGTAAATTGGGCAGCTGTTGATAAAAGTCTACAGTAACCTGTTGGAAGTGCTTTGCATACATTTAGTTCCCTTGATAAATTTCTATAGAGAAAGAAAGACCAGATTTGCAGTATAAAATAACTAAATGTACAGAACTTTGCGAGGAGTTTTCCATTCTTATCGATTTTGCTGAGAATCCTGCAGGCATTAATGTGTTTCTCCCTTGATTTTCCGCTTCCAGTTCGACATTCATGTCAACCACTAGGATTTTAATGTCACTACTTACGGTCTTGTTCACTACTGTATGTACCTTTCTGAAGAATTCTTTATTCTCTGTTGTTGGGCTGTTTGTCACAGTGCAGCATTATTTGATTGTAACTTCCTATCATTTTGACTTGCATTTTGCTCTCATAATCCTGCATGTGAATATTGATTCCCACTGCATGGTAGCTTTGACTGCTGTTGATAACATGATGACAACCACTTACTGCCTCAGTTTGCTCGTGGTTGTCGTCTGGGTGGCCATAGTAGATTACAGACTGTTCAGTTGACAATTTTCAGACTGATTTCTCGTGAGTAGGAACGCCAACACCACGCCCAACCGTCCTTCTTTACATAGACTTAGGAATCGGCTATAAAACTAGCGAACTAGTAAACTTAGTGAGGTTTTTGGAAATTCATGCTGATGATAGCTTTTGGTGACAAGTGAGCTTGCTCTTCAGAACAGCTGCTTTCTTTCTGGTTTCAGCAATTCCTACCCAGATTCTAATCATCTCTTCTCTGTGTAACACACCAGAGGAAGTTGAACATCATTCATCAACCTAGTGGAGAAATGATGAAATACTAACTTTGCAACTATATGACTGTAGATTGAATCAACTAGTGGGTCGTTCACATTCCTGGAATACAATGAACCAGTTATCCGCCAATTCTTCAGTCGATACTGATCTGTAACAAAAGCTATCTTGGAGTCTTGAGAATGTTTAAACCTCTTTTCACAAATTGCATTAAGGAACGTTTAAAAATAGTACACACAGAGTATTGAATAGCTTTCCGAAACCTCTAATATTCACTTTCACTTCGGTTGAGCTGTATTTCTCTCACTTGTGTGGTTGAAAGGCATATGTACCACTGAACAAAGGCTAAACAGCTAACTGCTCTTTACTGAAGCTCACCCAGTGTGCCCACTAATGGGGAGTCCTATATGCTAGAGATTGAAGGGGAAATAGCGCTGAACAGCAATACGAACACACTGAATGAAGCTGATAAACTTGAATATTGCATCAGTAATGACACTGGACAAGTGGCATAGCGGTTACGATGCTCGCAGACCATGCACATGGTCCGAGGTGCTCGCTAACCCCTCATGTGGCCTGGAGTTCGATCCCCGGCCACCGACGCACTCCTTTACCTCGCTAAGCCAGAAATAATGCTGGTGAAGGGGGAAGGTTGGGCATGAGGCTAGCGACCCCATCCTGTAAAATAAAACACTGCTACAGAAACTTCAAGCCTCTAGCTTGAAGCCCTTGTTCCACTGAGGGTTGCGAAGGAAAAAAGTGACACTGGACAGTGTTGTCGTGATATGATGAGAACTGAGAGAATCTAGAATCCATAGAGTCCTTGAAGTGAAACACGGTGGGTGAATGATCAGTGGGATAGCCTGGTCACAAGAAGGCTGTCAAGTAAGTCGTGAGGACTCACTTCTGGAAATCCGCAAACTAGGATCAAACAACCACCTGACACCCTCTGGTTATCAGCAGTTTTGAAACTGGTATCAGTCCATGACGGAATCTATTTTCGAAAATACAGGCTGTATCACAAAGTTTCGTGGTTGTGAACCCAATCTCATGCATATATGAGGTCTTAAGTGATAAAGAGACATAGAAACAGTTGATGAATTTTCAGCCGTCTCTATGGGAAAAAAGCTTTTAGACTTTAATCAATTCTAGTAACTTTTATTGATGATATATGAGGACTAAGGCAAAAGGATAAGGATCCTGATGCATTTTATTAAATGTAAGCACATGACTTCAATTAGAATGTCTGCGGAAGCAACACAAATTTTTCTCTTGAACAGTGTTCATGTTTGCTAGAAAAATTAAGCTAAGAAAAAAAAACTTGAATAATTAAGCTGTAATTAGCCAAGTAAAAATTCACCCAGAAAGTGGAAAAATGAGCTGCCTAAACTAATCAAATATCAACAGATAGATTTTTAAAATTTCTATTCAAGCTAAAGCTTAGGCGTTTCAGTGGCAGTGATGTCTTTTACAAGATGGGGTTGCTAGCCTCACACCCATTCCTTCTTCTTTTACCGGGCTTGTT